GCATGATGTAAACCAGCAGAATATTAATGTCCACTACACATTATGTAAATAATTAATTCACACAAATAGTGTTTTTTTTAAATTTTAAACAATTTTCATATTTATCATTAAAGAATTTGATTCTGTCATCCCCTCCTACCCTCACTCTGACCCCTGTCACCCTCTCCCTCTCTGACACTGCCACCTGTCAACCCCTCCCTCAGCCACCTGCCCACCCTTCACTCTGCCACCCCTAACTCTGTCACCCCATCCCTCCCTCAGCGACCTGTCACCCCCTTTCACACTCTGTTAATCCCTTCCACAATCTGTCACCCCCTTCACACTCTGTCACACCTCTCCACACTCTGTCAGCCCCCTCCACTCTCTTTCACGTCATTTCACACTCTGTCATCCCCTCCACTCACACACACAGTCTCCCCTTTCGACACCCTGTCACCTCCCTCCACACACCCTGTCACCATTCCCCACACACACTGTCACCACAGACAAAATGCACAAAGGCCACAGTCCATATACAAAAAATACCGCAAGCAGCTACCACACACACATACGGTCCTAGACACAAACATACACATGCTCACAGAAACATACATTCACATACAAGGGTACTCACTGTCAGACGCACTCTCAGGCACATACACAGACAGACAATGCCAGACAATTCAGAAATACACACAGCCAGATAAACACATTGTGACTGTATGTCTGTATTAGTCAATATGTGTGCATCAGTGTGTTTGTGTGTGTGTGTGTGTAAATGCATGTGCATGTATCAGTGTGTATATGTATTTGTGTATTAGTGTTTAAATGTGTGCGTGTGTCTGCAGTGTGGTTGTGGTATGATATGGGCAATGCAAAGATAAAGTTGCTATATATATATATATATACATACATACATATAAAATACATAGGGAAACACATATATGATAATATACATGTTAAGGAATTTAGAATATGTGGGGAAATGTCAGGCTATACAACCATACCCAGCAATCGTATACAAATGATTAGCAATTTATGTCATATCTACAGTAAAAGTGCTCACAACGCAGCGGCATAGGGAGCTGCGGCAATTTTTTTCACTAATGGTGTAAATGGGGGGCCTCATGTTTGACTTTAGCCTAAGGCCTTGCAAAGTCTAGAGCTGCCTCTGCTGAACAGCACCAAACAAAGTGCTAAAGGTTGGTGAAACCAATGTTTATTTTGTTGAATTGTGTAGTTTATTACCCTGGTTTAGAAAGGGACATTCCTTTATGTTTAGTTAGTGCTCAAATTTGAGCTAGGATTTTGTTTGTAGACTTTCCTTTCTGTTTTGCTGAAGTTTTGAACAAACGGATTGCTGCATGGATTTTTGTGCACGATGTAAATAAACCACACCATTTTTGCATAAGAGACTGTTGTTCTGTACCTGTTACCCTAGAGGACTGTGTTGCTTTGCCCTTAAAGGTCAAAAGATGGTGGAGAATGCGGGCAATTAAAGCACATTCATACAGTCTGTGGGTATAGAGGCCTAAGGTACTGTGACTCTGCAAACGGAGACGGTTGTTTGAAACAGAGGCCTGCAGGTGTGGTGTGTGTGGTATTTACCAGGTGGCTGAAAAAAAAAAAGGCAAGATGGAAGAGTTAGTAAAAGCCTTGATACAGGCTACTGCCACCCAGCAAGACACAAACCGTGTAACAGCGGCTCAGATCAGTAGCCTCATGGAGTCACAGCGACAGGCTGTTGCGGCCCAACAGGAGACAAACCGATTATTGGCTTTACAAATGGACTGCATTATGGAAACACAGCGGGAAGACAGAGTAAAGCTAACAAGTGCTTTGCAACAAACCATACTGTCAAGTGTGACTACTCCTACTATGGATAGGGGGCGCCGGATTAGAGTTACTGACTTTTTACATAAAGTGAGTGAGGTTGATGACATGGAAGCTTACCTGACAACCTTTGAAAGGATTGCTACCCGAGAAGGACGGCCTCCAGATTAGTGGGCAGGATTGTTAGCCCCTTGCCTCAGTGGAGAATCCCAAAAAGCATATGATGATTTGCCTCTCAGCCAAGCACAAGGCTATGACAGATTGAAAGCAGAAATCCTAACACGGCTTGGAGTTACGCCTGCAGTGCAAGCCCAAAGATATAATGCATGGGTTTATGATACAGAGAAATCTACTAGGTAGCAAATGTATGACCTCTTGAGACTTGCCCAGAAGTGGCTACAACCAGAAATCAACTCTGCTGCAGTAATCATTGAAAAGGTGGTTATGGATCGCTTTCTAAGGAGTCTGCCGATAGCGCTACGGAAATGGGTCAGTCAAGCGGATCCAAAGGACCCAGAAGAAATGATGAACTTGACAGAGAGATACCGGTTTGCTAACGAAACTCAGAGTAAAGAGCCTTACCTCAATGCCAAATTGCAAAGGAACAGGAAACCTGCAAAGAATTCTGGTGGATTTAAAGAAACAGATGGAAAAAAAGATTCTGTAAAGACTGAGAGACAGATAAAGTGTTATAGGTGTCAGGAGATTGGACATATTGCACGTAACTGTCCACAGACTGATGAACCTATGGAATGTAATTTGGGGAGGGGGGAGAAACATGGTGCATTGTTGGTATACACACAAATGTCTGCTTTAACAAGTACTGGTGGTATTAACCATGTCAAGTTTGTAAATTATGGAGGGGAGGAGTGTGCAAGCACTCTTAGATTCTGGGAGTGAGGTTTCATTGGTAATGAGATCTTTACTTCAGAGTGAGCAAGTAGATAAAATTACGTGTTGGATATAATATGCATACATGGTGACACCCACACGTACCCCACGGCCGAGGTGGAACTTGCTACCGCGGTAGGGGTGATAAAACATAGAGTTGGGGTGGTACCATCATTGCCTTATGATGCTGTATTGGGGCGTGATTTTCCCCTCTTTCGTAAAATGTGGGAAGATACTGCAATAAAACAGGATAAGTGTACAGAGGTAGAGGCAGAAACAGTGGGTTTAGAGAATGTTTTCCCTTTTTCTACGATTGATTTGGGGCAGTATATTGAAAATGAACCCACTGTAGTATGTTTCGGCGAGGAAGGGGAACACAATGAAAGTGATTTCTCCCAAGTAGAAAATCTAAGGGAAGAGGTGGAGTTCCATCATCTAGGTATTAGTTCAGGAAATTTCCGGGCTACCCAATGGGAGGATCAAACCTTGGTAGCTGCCCGTAACAATGTTCAGGTAGTGGAAGGTACTCCTGTTAACCCGGAAACCCAATTGTCCCTTCCCTATTTTGCAGAAAGAAATAATTTACTTTACCGAGTAGAGAGGAGGGGGGTTGAAGAGGTTGAGCAATTACTGGTACCTCAATCCCACAGGAACCTAGTCTTAAAACTAGCTCACAGCCATGTATTAGGGGGGCATCTTGGCATGGAGAGAGTACTAAGAAGATTTTACTGGCCATGAATCTACTCTGCTATAGAGCGATTTTTGCAAGTCATGCCCAGAATGCCAAAGAAAGGCTCCATTCCAAGCTTTCCGTAATCCCCTCGTTTCTCTTTCCATTATGGAAGTCCCATTTGAAAGAATTGCTATGGACCTGGTTGGTCCTTTACTTAAATCCGCTAGGGGGCACCAATATATATTGGTAGAACTAGATTATGCTACCCGCTATCCCGAAGCTATACCTTTAAGAAATACCTCAGCTAAAACCATTGCCAGAGAGTTAATGTTTATGTTCAGCCGGGTTGGAATACCTAGAGAAGTACTTACAGACCAAGGTACTCTTATGTCATGAGTGATGAAAGAGCTATGTAACTTGTTGAAGATTAGACAATTGAAAACTTCAGTGTATCACCCACAAACTGATGGGTTAGTGGAAAGATTTAATAAAACCTTGAAAGCAATGCTCTGTAAGGTAATTGATAAAGATGGTAAGAATTGGGATTGGTTGCTCCCATATCTAATGTTTGCTATCAGAGAAGTTCCCCAGGGTTCTCACTCATTGTTATATGGCAGACATCCTAGAGGTCTCCTTGATGTTGTGAAGGAAACATGGGAACAGGAACACACGCCTCATAGGAGTGTTATTGAACATGTGGCACAAATGCAGTATCGCATTGAGGCCATAATGCCAATTGTCAGGGAAAATATGGAGAGAGCACAGAAAGCTAGTTATAATAGGAATGCTAGACTTAGGGTCTTTCAACCCGGAGACAGGGTTCTGGTACTAATCCCCACAGTAGAAAGTAAATTCATTGCAAACTGGCATGGCCCATATGAGATCATTGAACGAGTCAATGAGGTGAATTATAAGGTGAGACAACCTGGTAGAAGAAAGCCTGAACAAATATACCATATAAATTTGCTTAAACCCTGGACAGACAGAGAGGTCGTGATGGCCACGACAGACAAAGTTCCTCTGACCAAAGTAGACAAAGTACCAGAGGTTAACATTGCTGACACTCTAGCACCTCATCAGAAAAATGAGGTCCGAGAGTTTGTTGCTAGAAATCGGGATGTGTTTGCTCCAGTACCAGGAAAGACTCATGTTATTAAACATGACATAATTACGGAACCTGGAAAAAGGGTTAACTTAAAACCCTACCAAATCCAAGAGGCCAGAAAAGAAGCCATTAAAGCAGAGGTCCAAAAGATGCTTGAACTAGGGGTTATCGAGGAATCCCATAGTGAATGGAGTAATCCTATAGTGTTGGTACCCAAGCCAAATGGAGAAATCAGATTCTGTAATGATTTCAGAAAATTAAATGAGATATCAAAATTTGATGCTTATCTCATGCCTAGGGTTGATGACCTAATAGAGAGATTAGGACGATCCAGATATCTGACTACATTAGATCTGACTAAAGGTTATTGGCAAGTTCCCTTAACAGAGCGGGCCAAAGAAAAAACTGCTTTTTCCACACCAGAAGGTTTTTCACTATAAAGGATTGCCTTTTGGGTTGCATGGTGCACCTGCCACCTTCCAAAGAATGATGGATAGAATCCTTAGACCCCATAGTGAATATGCGGCTGCCTACCTTGACGATGTGGTTATACACAGCACAGATTGGGAAACACACCTTCCCCGAGTTCAGGCAGTAATAAAGTCTATACGAGATGCAGGTCTAACTGCCAATCCATCCAAATATACGATAGGTTTGGAAGAGGCTAAGTATTTGGGCTACACTATTGGGAGGGGTCTCCTGAAACCACAGAAAAGTAAGGTAGATGCTATTTGGGATTGGCCACGTCCTGTGACAAAGAAACAAGTCAGGGCATTTCTAGGTTTAGTGCGCTACTACCGTAGATCCATACCTAACTTTGCTACGATCGCAAACCCGTTGACAGAGCTAAATAAGGCAAAAGGCCCTGTTATGATAAAGTGGACTCCCGAGGCAGAGAAGGCATTTAGTACCCCGAAGGAGGTTTTGTGTGCTGACCCAATTTTGGTTGCCCCAGATTTTACGAAAGAATTTGTGGTACAGACAAATGCGTCTGATGTGGGCCTAGGAGCGGTTCTTTCTCAAGTACACAGAGGAGAAGAACATCCCATTATGTACCTGAGCAAAAAGCTGAATCCCTATGAACAGAGATACTCGGTGGTTGAGAAAGAATGTTTGGCCATAAAATGGGCACTAGAAACACTTAAGTATTATCTATTGGGGAGAAGGTTCAAACTTGTCACAGATCATGTGCCCTTGACGTGGATGAGACAAAACAAGGAAACAAATGCCAGAGTAACTATGTGGTTCCTTAGTCTTCAGCCATATAACTTCTCTATGGAGCATAGAGCTGGTAAAGACCAGGGGAATGCAGATGGTTTATCCAGAGTCCATTGTTTGTGGTCAAAGGTCGCTACGACCGATGGGTCTAAGCTGGCGGGGAGGATATGTGACAGAGTCTATGGGAGAGTAATAGAAGGAAGGTATTTAGGACCCAGACTCCTCCATAGACTGTACTCAGTCACCTTCCCAATTAGCAACTGCTGAGGCTTTAATTAGCAAGTCTCAGAGCAGAAAGGGGGAGATACAATCTGACCTGCAGAGAGAGAGCAGGTCTGTGCTGAGCAGCACCAAACAAAGTGCTAAAGGTTGGTGAAACCAATGTTTATTTTGTTGAATTGTGTAGTTTATTACCCTGGTTTAGAAAGGGACATTCCTTTATGTTTAGTTAGTGCTCAAATTTGAGCTAGGATTTTGTTTGTAGACTTTCCTTTCTGTTTTGCTGAAGTTTTGAACAAACGGATTGCTGCATGGATTTTTGTGCACGATGTAAATAAACCACACCATTTTTGCATGAGAGACTGTTGTTCTGTACCTGTTACCCTAGAGGACTGTGTTGCTTTGTCCTTAAAGGTCACAGTGTATATATCTGTGTGTGTGTGTGTGTGTGTGTGTATCTGTGTGCGTGTATATCTGTGATTGTATAAATGTTACATCCCCTGATAGCCCTGATCTGGGTGACCAATATATCCAAAAATCACCCAGATCAGTTCAGGGGTTTTGGAATTTAATTGAAGTTCAATTTTGACCGACCGAACACAAGGGCTCCTGCCCAGAAACCGTTCCATGAATTTAGGTTGAGCGGCCGGTCTATTTCAACAAGTCTTAAAAATGAACAAAAGCATGAACTGCACTCCCTGGCTCATAGTAGCGATTGTTCCCCTGGTTCGTGGGAACAAAACTACAGAACAGCGCTCTCCTGTCTGTTCGGGAAAAGGAAGCAGTTCATACAGTTTGACCAGTAATCGGGAAGTTGAGTGTCCGATTTTAGTTACAGACACTCAAGAGAACTTGACTGTTCTCTTTGAAAATAATGAGGCGGGGGGGAGCGGGGGTTGGTGTTCGGTAGTTACAGCTACCGAATGAAAAAAAGTCAAATAACCGAAATACCACTGTAATTTCTTCACACTGCCTTCTATCAATATAAGTTTGTAAGTGCAATACTTACCCAATTCCCAGTTATTGTTTTATGCTTACAGTAT